TTTTTTTTTTTTTTTAACTATGAACCTTTTCTTTACCCCTTCTGCAATTCAACTCTGTCCTTGCAGACATTTTGAAGTGCTGGGAAACATAGGTGGCAGATCTTCTCCAACATGTGCAAGACCTCAGCTTCTAGTACTTACTTTTTACGCCTGAAAAGACTTGTAATTTGCCTTTGTTGTTTTTTTTTTCCTTACTAGAGATATAACCACGTGAAGGAAAGAAAAAAAGAGAGAAGGATATGCCTTACACCAGAGTGCCCAACCCTTTCCCTGAGGCCACACACTGTGCTGGACAAAAGCAGCACGGGCAGTTCTGCAGGGAAGGGTGGTTGGCTGCCCTCACCGAGGGACATCCTGCAGGGACCAGGATCTGATGGCCTGGGAACTGCTGTCCTGTGTTACACTGAGCATTTCTCATACACATAAGAGAAGTAAATAAAGTGCTGATTTTGAAAAGTATGAAGTCTAGTGTTAGCCCGTGCTGTTACCACGTCTGTTTTTTCTGTCGCTAACCCTCTAACTCTTCTAGTTAGTCACCTGTACCTGTAGCAAGACACTTGGGGCCAGAAGCAGTCCCCTGAACTTGTCTTTGCAGCATTTTCCTGTTTTCTCTCTTTCTGACACCCCACTTCGAGCTGTGTTTCTTTAATGTGGCTGACCTGTGTTTACACCAGCAGGCAGCAAACCCCAGGTGTGTTTGCCCCTGTTTGGCTGTGCTCTCACCCAGAGCTTTTGCTCTGCATTTCTTCAGCCTTTGAAATCACAGTCCTCAGGTCAGTGGTCGTTGAGCCAGCTTGGCAACCCTTGCAAGTTAATGGGAGCTAACTAGGAAGATTTGACCCATGTAATTTTTAATTTACGATGTCAAAATCCTTGTGTTGCATCGTCAGTCTTGTCCATGTCAATTATGTTTCCACCCCAGATATTTAGCAGGAGCCACAGCCATTGCTATGATGAAGGGCAACACTTCTCACATATTCTTTAAAAGAATAGAGTAAAGCTGAATTAAACTTCCTAAAACATTTGAGGGACTGACCCTTCTAGAACATGAACAGTGCTGGGCGCTGAAGTTCTGCCCCTCAATTTCAATGAACTACCCCTACAATAAAAACCCTTTCTTCTTGTCAGAGGAAATTAGTAAAAAAATTTCAGTTCTAACCTGTCCAACTTAAAAAATTAACCTAGTGCTAACTTATAGGTTCTAGCATGACAAGAAGTAATCTTTTGCCTTGGGTGGTAGGGCACCAAGTCTTTTATTAATGGCCAGACCTCTAATGAGCTGACACTGTCACATGGGAAAAAGTACTTTTATAAACCTCTCTCCAAGATTTGACTGTCACATTATCAGAGCCATCCTCTGAAGAAGATTTGTTTAAAAAAAATGTACAAAGTCCTTACTGGCAGACAGAGGTACTGCCAGAAGGGCTGGATTTTGAAATAGCAGTTATTTTGTGCATCTGGTTTCTAGGAGCTTCAGTATGTATAAAGCTCTACATGTGTTGATGTAAATAATAGGCATTATTTCATCAGGCACCATGCAGTCCTATTACTCTGTGTAAGAATAAGTAAGAATAAGCCAAGTGAATGCCAGCTGACTCAACCAGAATTCACCTAAAATCATGTCAAGTAAATAGATTTACCACCTATAACTGCTGCAAAAGTGATTTAAAAAATAAATCCATAAATATCACCTTGTTGTATGAAGTTGTGTATTTTCTGAGCACGGTAATTCATTGATCTGTGGCTATCATCACCACCACACCTGTATTAGTCACATGAAAAGGCAATTCAAGGTAACAATGAGAATCACCCACTTCCTGCTCTCTGTGGCATTTATAAGGCTCAGCCAATTACTGCTTTTCCCCAGCTTGTAACCCAAAATTAAGGTAAATGAAGCCACATGAGGACTAAGAAACAGCCATCCCAGCTAGTAGCCCTGCTCTCTGTAGTAGTTACCATGATATAGTTCACTGTGACTTGCTATCACCTATGAGAACAGGTAAACTTTGCACTCTAAAGGAAGGCCAATTATTTTACATTGAAATTTCTGTGGGAGCAAGAGTGTATTTATCATTATACTTTCTAACTGATGCTAAAATTCAGTTGTATGTCCTTAAAAAAAAAAAATTCTTCCTAAACAGTTAGATGAGAGTAGCTTCATGCAACAGGAGGTATATGCACCTCTGAGTTAAATTACTTTTGTCTGTCCTGTTTTGACTTGAGATTGGCTTCTTTAGGCTTTGATTGAGAAACTGAGCTGAGTTATAAGTGATTTCTACTTTGGATTCCTCAGGTTGGTTTGTCCAAATGAGGATCATTTTAGCTGTCATGGATTAGAAGACAGAAATAGTTCTTGGCATGCTGCAAATCACAGCTGTTTTCATCCCCAACTGTACATCTCTGAAAACTATAAGTTCTTTGCTACCTGAGTTCTTGCTTTAGAATTGTACTAGATTAAAAAAATATTTTTTTTCAGAATTGTTTTAGGGAACAGTCTATTACTACTTAGATTTCGGCTTCAGTGTTTCTAGGTTGTGTGTTTGAATCACAGTTGCCTTTTTTTATTTCAGGTGATTTTGAAATTTATCTTTACCCATACTGGTTATATACTATTGTGCTTCTGTTTTGTGATGGAGTAGTTCTCATAGTCTAAATAGATCTGAAGAGGTAAAATTTGAGTAGTTATAAGGACAGATGGAAACAAACAGCAGAGCCAAAAAATGCTATCAGAGACATTGAGAGCTCTATTTAGGGACGCTGACCTGATTTACCACTGCCTTGCAACATGTGTATGCATTTACATTTGTACCAAATAAATGAGGAATGCTTCTCATGTGTAATTAGAAGTATTTTTTGAACAGTTGTTAGTGATCTTAATGAGTTCCACAAAATGAAGAAACTGATCTGGGAAATCAGAAAACTTCTCTGTGGATAAAGTAACAGGAGCATTGCAAAGCACCGTAAGTTTGGCTCTTCCTAATTTCCTCTCAAGGTTGTAATTGCTTTTGTTTGATATGAGAGAACACATCACCTGTGCCCCTGCCCCTTTTGATGCATTGTAGCCACAGTGCTATATCTGCCTAGAGACACAGTTGTGGTTTAGGTTGCTTCTAGATTGCTTTTTTCTTTAGCTAATAAATTCAACTTACTTTCTTTAAAAATTTGCTTTTCTAACTTAAATGTAGAAGCATTACTTATTTTTATAATTAACTTTATCTGAATTTCAACCAAAACTAACAAGAAGTATCATAATGATTGGATAGTGTTTACCTTAAAAAAAAAAAAATCCCTCTCTTTATCTACTCGCAGTTTTTCACTAGTTGCCTAGCTAAAGTATTGAATTATTTTAACCAAATTATTTTCTTGATCTGTTGTCTGTATTCTCCTGAAATTGTTAGCTTTCATGTGTATTTAAACCTTTATCTTTAACATACAGATAGAGTTGCACATGCAGTATTGGATTCACATAATTTAATAGGTAATATAATTCTGGGGAAAAAATCTTGTTCACCCCCCAAATGGACTAATTAAATAAACTAATTAACTTCCTGAGTGTTTCTAAATTCAGAAGCTGAAACGTTCATATAGTTCTTTGATTATTTTGTTTTGGGTTTGTTTTTTTTTTATACTCCCATATGTAATATCTCAAAAGTGACAGGTGCCCTAAGAAATTGTAGTAGAGAAGTGTGGAATTCAAAGCAAGAGTCTTACCAGTTTGCTAATTGCAGTGGAGGAGCGCAGAAGTGTACCTGCAACTTAAGCTGCTCTGCTCAGTCATACTCAAAAAAAAAAAGACGAGCATGCCCGATGCAGACAGAAGAGATGTGCAGGGGAAGGGATTTTTGAACCACATGGCTGACCAGGAGCAAAGTCCCCTAGCTGGGAGAAGCAACCACGATGGAAAACTGTCTCAGCCTGAGAAGAAGCTGCGAGAGGCAATTTGTGTGCTGCTGGTGGAGCTGTGTGAGAGGTTCACGTTCTTTGGCATCGTGTGCAACATGATCCACTTCTGCACCGTCAAACTCGGCTACCGCAACTACCAGGCAGCCATGGCCAACATGTGCTTCGTGGGCACCTCCATGCTCACACCGGTGCTGGTGGGCTGGATTGCAGAGTGCCTGGTGGGCAGGATCAAGCTTGTGTGCATCTGCATGTTTCTACACTTCCTAGGTAGGTGACACCCCGGGAATATTCCATGTTTTACCAGTTCTCTTGCGGAAATGCATTCCCGAGCGTTGTGTTTGAAATCTAACCATTTCCTCCGGCCTTCTCTAACAGATAATTACTTAGTTCCTTCTCCACAAAATGCTCTGCAGTATTTTTACCTTTCTGGTTTTGTGAGGCAGTGCTTTGAACAAGACTAAGGAACATTTGTGTGTGTATCTTGTGTATAGTTGGTGCACAAACCTGACTCCTCTGAAGTGGGTTAGCTATTCAGAACATGGATGCTCAACTCTTAAAATTGGTCCCTTTGACAAACATCTGAAGTTTTTATTTGTTTGCATTGTTTGACACCAATGCAAGGCTTTAGTCAGAGAGAGAGAGAGTTTGGAAACTGTTTCCCAGATGTTGGTAGTAAGATTGTGTGTGATTGTTGTGTTTGGACAAGAGGAAAAGTATTTAGGCACATACCAGCATAAACAAACTTTGCCTGAAGTACAGAGAGTGTATCCAAATACCTGCACCCAGGGCCTGCTTTCTGTTAGCACATTCTGAACCTTCCCTGTGTCTCAATTTTGAGATCTTTTGTATAAAAGCACTGTTCAAATTAAGTGTGACTGTTCTGTAGCAATTAGTGTCTCTCACAGAGGGTGGTTACTCTGTCAACTTAAACCAAGTTGATAGAAATACTTCTTACTTGAACCAGTTACTGAGCATAAGCAAGTCTGATTTCTACAACAGCCATCCACGTTGTAATTTAGACCTGCAACAAAGCAAGTAAAAAATCAGAGCCACTCCTGAAATGTTCTTGAGCTGATTACAAACCCATTATGCAAGCAGTCTGCAAAAATGATTGTTTTGTGTCCCACTGTTTCTCCTGTGGGATTCTGGTTTAAATGTCCTTCTACCACTTGCCTTTGCAGTGCATATCTTAAAGTAGAAGACCAATGACACAAACAGAATTTGAGGTAGTTGGATATTGTTTTAGACAGAATAATTTTTGGTTGGAGATAGATAATTAAACATTCCTGATGCATTAGAGTCTGATGAGCAGTCACAGTCTTAGTAGTGGCTAATGTTTGTGTTGTTGAGGCATTAATATATTTTAATTTTAGAGTCCAATTACAACTTGAAAAATCTGTAGCTGATTAAATCGGAAAGACTTGCTTTACAGACTAGAGGTGACAAATGCAATTCATGGCAGTGCTTCTATGGGTACAGTTTCTGAAAATCATGTGTTTTCCATGAAGGTGCAACAGAAAAAAAAAAAGAAAAAATTTTCCACAAAAGTTTTGAGAATTTATTTGTTAAATTTTGATTCCTATTACAATTCTGGGGTTTATAGTAAAAAAGACTGCACTCCACAGAGGGGTGTCTGGGGCTTTTTTTGGTTAATTGGCGATTCAGCTGACAGAAGAACCTGAATCCTTACAAGCATTTCAGAGAAAGTTTAGTTTCTTGGAGGCCCATAGTGGTTTTGCCTTACTTTTTATAGCAACATTCAGAAAGGTTCTGCCTCTCTACATGATTATGACTGTCCCTCTTTGCACTTTTCTGTTGTGCATCTCTGATTTTTTCCATCTGTCTTTGCAACGTACCTGCTTTAAAAAAATATGTGTCTGATTTGTCTGATTCTAATTAATTCCAAATGACAATTTTCTTTCTGTTCCAGGCACAGCTCTATTACCTGTCGTGTCATTCCCCTTTGAAGACATTTACATCGACAGGCGGCATGTTCTTCATACACTCCCCAAAAGGGAGCAGAAAATAGTGTTCTACTTTGCACTACTCACAGCTAGCCTGGGAATAGGAGGCATAAGAGCTATAGTTTGCCCACTAAGTGCATACAACCTTGAGGACTGTGGACCAAAGGAACTTCTTTCATTTTTCAACTGGTTGGTAATTTAATGTTGGCTAAGTATCTGTTGGGAATGATAGAGCATTGCCTTGAAATGTAGATTCCGTGGGTGGTGGGTTTCATGCTTTGTTTTTAACCACAAAACTTGTAGATTTTGGAAGAGTTTCCAAGAGTTTTAGTTAAGACTTCTCCTAACCTTTTCCTTTTGCTAGTAGGTGATGGTCTATTTTAGCCTCTCACAGAAATATGCTGTCAGAGTATTGAGGATCAAACAGTATGCCCAAATGCTCAAAGATTTGACCATCCAGTTGCTGTTGGAACAACATATTCCACTTGGTTTTCTGCCTTTAGTATGAATATCCCTTTATGATATTTTCCCATTACTCCCTAAGTAACAGTGACAAAATTCAATGATATATTGGAATTTGTATCAGAGTAAATTTTTAGCCATGAGAGGCAGCAGTAGAATCTGCTGGTTTGCTGGAAGTAGGGGTTGCCTGTAGTCTGTGACTGCTAAGCTCAGTGGTAGGGAGCTGCCACGTTGTTTCAACTCTGTTGCTGGGAAGTTTGGGCATCAGATAAACTTCTTGACATTTGTGTTTTGGTTTGGTGTGGTGTTTGTTTTTTTTTTTTAATTCTTTAAGAAAAATTGATCTTAAGATGGTTCTTAAAATTCAGGGTGGTTGTTTTTTTGGGTTTTTTTGTTTTTTTTTTAATATTAATTATTTATTTCTCAGTGCATCAGGGAGATAATTTGTAGTGATTTGTTTGCCTTTCCTTACCACTTCTGTAGCCCCATACAGAGTGCTATATTTTCTGGTTAAACTGTCCAGTGAGGAACTTGCAGTGAGAACCTCCAAATCCCTGCTTCAAGGCAGAGTTAAAAAAAAAAAAAGCCCTGAACTGCCCCCTTCTCTCTCCTTTACATGCATGGTTATTGAAATAAAAACTGAGCACATTTGCATATTAACAATGCAATGCTGAAGAATCAGTGAAGATCTTAGTGAATCAGATCTCTCCTCCTTTGGGGATGGCTTTCCTGGCTATTCTTTTTTCCTCCAATTATGTTAATATCAAAGAGTTTTGAATTAAATCCAAACTTCAGTGAATAAGGTAGCTTTACCAAAGGTGGATGAGACTGTTTAGTTCCTGAGAGCAGATTCTGCCTCCTTGACCTGCCCATAGGAGAGAAGAGAAAAAAAGTCCTTCCTTTTTACTCCATTCTGAGTTTTAATCCTTAATTAGCAACATCATTTTGATTAAATAAGGCTCTGGGGGATTAAAACTGGAGAGCAATCAGTTGTTCTGAAAGATAGCTCTGGAGAATTTATTGTACTGTGGTCTTAGCCATTCAGAATTGTGTTTAATCAAAGTGACATTTCTCAGTGTTGATTACAAAGGAGATATAATGCGAATAAAAAGTTCCTTGGGGGAATCCAGATGGGTCAGTTCTTGGAACTCTGGAAATATCAAGAAAGGCACATGTGCAATTAAAAAAAAAAAAATTAATAATTTTTGCAGTGACACCCAAGGAGGTGCTCTTGGAGTGCAATCTCAAGTTCTAAAAAAAGGAGGGTTCACTCTTAATCTCATTAAATGTCTCAGAATATAATCACTTTTCCTTGGTAAGCTGGTTTCTCTTGGTAGTTTCTTGTCTTTGGATTAAATTTTAAAATTATATACAATGAGATGCTTGCATGCTCTTGCTAAGTTTGAATCTACGTTCTTAGCCAAGTTCTTTTTAAACAATCAAAATTATTGAATTAAAGATTGGGTCAAAAGACCTTGTAGTTGCCTGTTTTCTAATTCAAAAAAATTGCTTTGCACATCCAGGGCCTCGTTCTAACCCCTGATATGTACTATGGCTCTGACCTTCTAAACAAACAGAATATACCAATGCTAAGTGAAGAAGGGCTTGGATTCTGTTGGACTAAATTTCCCTGAGACCTTCTGCATTTCTAAGTGCTATTTTTGCATCAGGAGATATACATTCTCTCTATGGGAGCAGGGAATGAGAGCAAAGAGTGCAATCTAGACTAGGGGTGAGAGTTAGCAGAGCTGTATCTTGTCTTACAGATTTGCTGTAAAAAAAAGAAAAAAAGACAGAACATGGAACCAGTAATATTTTCCACCCTACCTCGTTCTTTTTCTTTCCATATATTACAAATCAATTTCTGCCATTATCCTGAACACACTTTACTTTGACTTTTTAAAATGTTTTTCTGTTTCTCTGGGATTTTTTTCCTTCACCTTGTTTCTGCAGAGAATTCTGTAGTGATTCTGAAAAAAATTGACCTCCTCCTACAAAGCTCTAGTACAGAAAAGTATATAGCTTGGATTCCAGTCTATGCATGGAATATCTGGGCCTGAATTTGGATAAATCAAAACTTAAATTTGTGAGAGCTAGGCAGGCTTACAAGATAAAAGCAAATAATATTTCAGGTGACGAGAAATTTTCTGCATCTTCAAAATTAATTGAGAAGGCCTATTTTGAGGCATTTCACATGATCTAAGGTTGTTTCATTCAGCAGTTTCATCTCAACTGTTACATTAAGTAAAAACTTTTTGAATTCTTTATAAACATAATACTTTTCAATAAGAGTTGCTACTTCTTTAAAGTTATCAAAATGAATGCAGTTCTGTAAAGTGTTATAAGAAGATTATTGGGTCTGTGTGGCTTGTCACAGTAGCATTTAGGTTTGTGTCTGGACTGCATTCTTGGAATGAGCCTCTCAAGTTGGCATTTGGCTCTCATTGTGAGGAGACCTCAGAGTGCTGAAGCTCCAGGAAGGAGCTGTTCCCTGCAAAGCTGTACATGATATTCAGTTTGGTGTATCTAACTAAACCCACTATGTCCTAGTGGGGTCTCTGAGACACTTTATGTAATGTCAGCCCAAATATTGCAGCATTGGGTAGCTGTGATATGAGAACTAGCCAGGTGTGTTGTCTGTTTGTGTATGTTCTGATCTGCTGCTGTCAGTGTGATATGAGCATGTCTTTAAATTCTGTGTATTGAGGGTAGTTTATCTCTCTTGTTTGCTAAACCCATTGAGGTTTTTTTCCTTCTCATTTTTGTGAGAGAACAGGAACTTTACGTTTCGGTCTTACAGTACAGTGGTGAAGAACAAAAGTTCTCTCCTGTACTCAAAGGTTTTCTTTGGATGCCTCCTGCTTCCAGTCAAACAACCTTAGAGCCAAGAAGAGTGTCAGGACTTCAAGTAGCTCCAGCACACTTCTTTAGAACGTTTGGAAAAGAGCCACTGAAATTTCTAACTTTAAAAAATATCAGGAATTCATTCAAGAAGTCCACACAAGTTCTAACTGAACTTGTTTTGTAACTGTAATTTTTTTAAAGCTTTAGTTGAACAGCAGTCAACATGGGTATGTACAAAATCTGTCCTACTATAACATCACGGAGTAACATAATTCCAAAGTGCATTTTCTTTTATGATTGAGAAGATAATTCTAGATTAATTAGGAGACATAAATACTCAAGTTCAAATAGCATACAGGAGGCAGAAGTGCCACTGAACAAGAAAAAAAAGCTTTGTTTCCTCAAGCAATATGTATTAAGCTGTCTAATTATGTGTCAGTCTATATTTCACCTTTAAATGAAACCGTTTTGCTAAGGTTCCAGCAAAGGTAAAGGAATCTCCTCTTGCAGCTTCTTGCCACACAAGACTGATACACATCTTCAGAGCTAACCTGGAACTTGAAAGTTTAGTCAAAGTTTATATTCTTAACTTAAAATTTCAAAGGTTGAGTCTTCAAGCCGGAGTCAAATCTGAAGTAAAAATTGCTGAATTATCTTTCGCTGTCCTCCTAATTCCTTAAAGAATATTTACTGTGCTAATTTCGAGGGTTCCAAACTGCAGTAGGGCTATCACTAGTGGTATGCCATCTGCTTCCCAGAGTGTGTGATTTTCCTTTGAATATGTTCTGTGATTAGGAAGGGCCCAACACTTACTTGGGAAGCACCTCTACCACCAAAGACAGTGTCAGAGAAAAATGTGATGGGGAATCTCCTTATTAAGATATTTTCAGAAGACAACAAAAGCTCAAGTTGAGCCATGCAACTAAGGACTGATAAATCAAATTATAATATTTCTTAAATTTCCTGACATGTAATATTTTTTAACCAAAGGGTGGTGGCATTAAGTCATTTCTCTCTTAAACTTGAAGCATATGATTTGATGATACACAAAACTTATGCTGCCAGATATTAAATGTGTAAGTGTTAAATGTTGATGTATTTAATTAGCATCACCCACAAGAATATTTGCAGTACTAGACTTGATAATTTGTTCAGCTCTACTGCCTTAGTACACTTACTTTAATCTTACACCTCTTGGAGCTGAGACATTCAAGTGAAATTCTGTTTTAATTGGTGTGTCAATGTGTTCATGGTACTGATGCTGTCCATGCTTACTATACTTAACCATGCCTTTAATTTGATGTTTTAATCTTCTGTAAGAGCCTTATATTGTTCAGCCTCTCTACTCTTCTCTCTCTTGTCTCTATGTACTAGGTTTTATTGGCTGGTGAACTTAAATTCAGCAGTTGTCTTTGTCAGCATTTCTTACATCCAGCAGTCTGTGGCCAGGAACCTTGGTTTTCTTATCCCATTTGTGTCTGGGATTATGGCTATCGTCACGATTCACATGATGAGGGGTGAAATGATTTACAAACCCAAAGCAGGTAAGAGGAAACTTAGGAAGTAACTCTAGAGATTATTTTCAGAGAAGAAATCAACTTGCATATCTAAAAAGAGTTTTTGCATAACACTGCTCTGTTTGGTTGGAGATCCTCGGGTTTTAGCTTTACAATATCTTTTTGTAAAAGAGAGAACATCCATTCCCTATAAAAATAGACCTGGAGATTCTGGATAGGCAGTAAAAGTGGGAAGCAGTCTGTGGTAAACTTATGCATGTTTTCTGACGTGTCAAGGCAGTTGTCAAAGAATTTGCCTGTGCAGGAAGAAGTACAATATCCACGCTGCTGGTGGAACTGATTTTGTCACGTTTGGTTCAACCTGTGTTTTGGTCAGTTGAAGCAGAGTTTGTGCCTGTGCTAAGTGTGCTCTGTTGCTTCTCCTGAACTCACAGCTGGGCAGTCAAGCACAGTGGTTAGTCAGCTAAACAGGGTTATGCACTAGTGGCAAAGTAATTTTAAAATGCCTTTATCTTGCAGAACATCTGGTACTTACTGTTATTTCAACATGCTTGCTTACACAGCCTCAAGTGGTTTTACTCATTTGAAAGTAACTAGAAATATTGAATAGCTTTAAATAGTTCCTGTGCAGACTGTGCAGATATTTTCATACAGAAGAAGTTTTTAGGCTTCTGAGGCCTCCCCAGTTGGTACCTGAGCTCTACAAAATCCTTTGATAGATTGGTCCCTCTCAATGGACCAAGCACAGAAATGTAAGAGGAACCAAGATGGCTTGAAAAGGGCCATAAATGGCCAAACCTTCGTGTTCTTTTTTTCAGTAGAACCCAGGGACTGAAAACAAGTTATTACTTCAGTATTTTTGTTAAATATAATCAAAGAAAAAAATATATTAGCAGTGAGTGAGTGAATGCATAAATTAAGTGTTTGGTAATATTGTAGCAAGGACATCACTAGAGAGGTTTATTCTAAATAAATAGAGCCAAAGAAATGCATCTCCACCACAGTGCCCTCAAAACCTCATAAAAATATGCAGCTGAGGTAAGCAGTGACTACCATCAAATTAAATACCTTGTTATAGGGAGGCTGGGGCTCACTACAGTTTTACAACCTGGGAAGGTAAAAACGTTTAGTATAGTCCTGAGCTGGACAATTAAATATGGACTAATTCTGCAATTTATCCTTTAACTAGCTTAATCCTACTAAGTGGAATAACATAAATTTGTAGATTATATCTATCTTGACTGTCAATCAAACTAGTAGAACATTTTTTTCTTTGTATCAGGTGTTTTTCCCTATGACTGTTGCTAGAATGATCACATATTTTCCAAGTCTTTGCAGAATGACAATCTCTACACTAATATCTGCAAAGTTTTTTATTTTCTTAGTGAAAATAAAAGATAATGTACTTTGTATCATCCAGCGAGGTGATGAAATTAGAAATTCTTCAGAACTGTAATTCAAATCTATAGGTGACCTTAAATGATTTTTATATTTATTGCCTTTTTTATCTTAAGGTAATTCTTCAAAGGGATGTTGCATTCAGTTCTGTTTAGCTATCAAGCATGGACTTTGTTTGCATTTCTTCTCACTGCTATAATTTTAAGGACTGGTAGGTGAACAGAGATGAGGACAAAAATGTCTACCATTTAGGGTGCAATATAGGCTTTTTATTGCAATTAAATAGCACAGATATTTATAATTAGTTTAGAGTGAAAGAAAAAGAATATGAAAGCAAAGTATAGAGGAAAAAGTAAATAATTTTCTTGCAACTTAATATCTATACAGGTTGGAAACTTTAGAAATAAAAACATGGAGTGTATGATGTTTAGCTACGTAATGTGCACTGATATAAATATTTGTGCTTTTAAACATGTTTCCCACTAGCTGATCAGATTTGTAATCTAAAGAATTCAGCACTATGGGTTTCTGTGGGGTTTACTTATTTTCTTTTAAAGAAGGGATGACGTACTTATTCTGACTATATCATTGGCAAAATCCTCTTGATAGTAATTAGGTTTATGTATCATTGAAGTTGCTTTCTGTACTACAAATTCAAGCAGCTTTATCTTCCTAGTTTACTAGCTTTTATAATCTGCTGGAATTCCATGAAGAGAAACACAGCTAAATAATGTACTTGTCTGTTTTGTCTTATGCAAAATAACATTTCCAAAGTAGTGGACTGAAATTAGGTAAAGGAGAGCCTCAGCTGATCCATTAGGAAAGGCAGGGAAATATCAGGTTTTGTTGTTTATTTTAGTCTTTTTTTCCAGCGAGAGTGAGAAAGAAGAGCCTGCCCAACACCTCACATTCCAAAAGAAAGGAGATGGCCATGACCATCTTCAGGACTGAGTCACATGAACCAGGACACAGCAGTGTTGTTGCTTTGTTGAACTGTCTGCTGGTCTTGTCATGGGTTACCCTGTGCATCATCAAATATGAGTGGGCTCAAACCCTGGCAGAGTAGTAATACAACATAACTGCTTCTTATTTTGTTTTTTGAATGTCCAGCCTGTAGGGTAGGGCAAAAAAAAATATTGTCCTTTTTCTGATATGAAATATTTAATTACAAGCTCTGCCAATGAATTGAGCTGAAACCAAGTTTTCTGTTATCTCTCATTTACTTCTGAAACTACCTCTGCTTTGAGAAGAACCCTAAGTCCCACTTGTTTTCTGGTTAGCTTCTTAGTCAAGTCACTCTGGAAGTCTGCAGATTTTTTACTTTTAGTCTTCAGATTAGGTCTTAAAATAATCTAAGATCTTAAACATCACTTACAATGAGTGGTAAGAATAATTGCCTAGTACAGTCATACAAAACAATAAAAACTGTACCCACTCTCTGTGTTTGCAGGCTTTAATAAGCTATTTCAGACTTTATTCCATAGTGCCAACAGTCCTCAAATTGATACTAAAGAGCCAGAGAGTTTTAAATGTTAGTTTATCTAATAAGATGCCCTTACTTAGTACTCTAGAACAAGTGCTTCCAGTAAATGTTAATGGATATTTCTAGAAAATAATTTCCATATCAGAGATAGTAGGGAGATATTTTCCCTCTGCAATCTTCCTTCACCTTAATATTTGGAAAGAATTTAGTTATAGATACTCAACTTACTGTAGTGCTTCAGAACTCAGAAAAGTAGAGAAGTGGCATAACCCTCATTTGCATGGATGGCAATTTACCAAAGGTAAATTAGTCTGCATTCCCAAGCCTGATGCTAAAAGTTTTGTCCTCATTTTACTTCTGTTTCCTCTGACTTTGAGAACCAAGTTAGCAATTCCTGAACCTAGTAACCAGTGAGCAAGTTTTAATATGCCAGCTACTGAATTGGAAACTTTTCTGTCCCAGCATGCTACTTGGAAGTCCTGAGATAATATTTCTGGCTTTGAAATTCATTCATGAGAATTCTCGCATCTCATCAGCTGTTTCTTAAAATCCTTTTCCTTCTCACTTCACTACTGCCCTCCCAGTGTTGCTGGACTTCAGCAGATATGCAATATTACAGTACTGTCTTGAAATGAAAACGAACAACATTCAATAAATGGAAAGAAAAAGCAAAGGAAATTAATGCTTTACTTGCTCAATCTCGGCAACAAATTGTGGTGAGTTAAATAACTTGTAGCAAAGGGCAGTCTTCTCTGTGGATGTTTGACAGGATTGCTTCTGCAACAATTAGGTTGTGAACCAACTGGGTCCAAAAAAGAATGTTTTGAAACAAATCCAGGCTGTTATTACCTTTCTCCCACCCAAAAAAAGACACAAAGGTGAATATATCAGGTTACATCTTCCCTTCCAAAGTGTTTTGTCTCGTCTTATTTCTTTTGGCAGCGAATAAAAACACACCAATGTCTGCTGTCTCTGACTCCTTGCAGAGAGTTCCCTGCTGACGACTTTTGGGGTGATTGGCAGTGCCCTGAAAACGCGCTGCGTGCGGCATCGCTACCTCAGCGCAGGCGTGACAAACTGGCTGGATCATGCCAAGGAAAACCATGGTGGCCAGTACAGTGAGATTCAGGTGGAAAGCACCAAGTCCCTCGCCAGACTCTTCCCACTGTTTACTTTCCAGATTCTGTACAGAACGTGCGTTATGCAGGTGGGTCACACGACTTTTAACCAAGAAAGCTGAAATAGGCTGTGACACGTGTTTGCTACTATATCTCTAGGCATGTTTGTTCTAGTGGTTTTAATTACCTAAGAATAGTCCTTGCTATAACCTCTAGTCTCATCAAATAACGAAAATTGACTTGGTCAAGACTCATTAAGGAGCTTATGTGACTGCTTGCTACTCCTTTCTCTGAACCTTTACTGGTTGAAACATCCTGTACTGGAGTCCTGTGCTCCACATGCTGCTGTGTTGCAGTTGTCAACACAGACTCAGGCCCGGTATTCTTCTTGAAAAACATAATTTTCCTGCTTATTAAATGTTCACTTGCTTCTGGAGAGTGGTAGAAAATTTTATTTGCTGTTTTGGTTGCATATTTCTCCTACTGTTTTGACAGGCTTATGTGGCTGTTGTAGCTACAGTGGAAGTGGGTGGTTTTCCATTTGTGGAAAGAAGCAGTCCTTTCACAGCCCCTCTGTCAGGCTATCTGGTTCTTTTTGCTTTTGGGTGTGTGTGTGTATGTTATATAAATGTAAATGTGTCAAGAAGCCACTTAAGCTGACATGATTCCTTCAGGTTCCTTTCTGTCTGGATGATCCTGGCTAAGCAGGAGTTCGAGGTAGCTTACCCTTTGGCAACTGGAATAACAAGTTGATGAGCTGGCTCGGAAATTCATTTTTACCTATTGCTGTTAAAATGCTGCTTAAGGAAATTCGTACAAATATGTGGCATATACTGCTTCACTGACACTTCCTCTTGCCATCATCCCACGTTCCCATCTACCTGCCTTATTTTATCTCCTCTTCCCTCCTCAACACCCCCCTCTCCCCAAAGGCACAAAAAATCCCCAGCGAACAAAAAAAACCCCTACCAAACCAACAGCTTGACCAAGGTTATGCTTTAGTGACTAGATGAAAATTAACCACATATCATTAACCACATTTATAATAATCAGGTATTTATCTAGAAAACATAGAAGTATTTCCACTGCTGAAAGAATCTACTTATTCCTTCAGAAGAATTTCCTATATAAGTTTAAGACTCTTTCTCAGACTAAATGATCAGTATCTTTTTTTGAAGATTAAGAGCGTTTTCTTCATATTTTTAACAGCTTTCAGTGCCTGTGATTCATGTTGATGATATTTTAATTCCTATTAAGAAGTCAATTCTTATTTGCAGTAGGCATTGGAAAAAAAAGGAACCAACAAAATTTGGCTCAGTTCTAAACTTGCATAGTTCTGTTGCTATTTATTCTCCCTTTTCAATTTTTATAATCTTTTGGAGGTGGAATGTAGGGTTTTTTTCATATTTTTATTAAGATCTATCATTTAAGTAATTCCTTAGCACTGAACAGACTCCCAGTGAGCAGGGTCAACTATAACCATTGATAAGAAACCCTCCATGAGCTCAGTTACTAACTATACATTAATTTTCAGACTGCTACAAAGCAGTAATATTCTACCTGGGTTTGAAGGTACCAGTTATATTGAAAAGCTGTGCAGGATGCTGCAGGAATCCTGAACTGACTAAAAACAGAAACAGAGCAAAGAAACCAGTTCTACATCGAGCTCTGTCACAACAGTACTTTGCGAATTGCTCAAGTTGGAGTTTGCCTTCAGTAAAATGCAGTGGATTATGGCTCCCTGCTGCACATGAAATTAGTTAATCAAGCTTCCTCAAAAAACAAACAAACAAACAAACCCCCACCAGAACTGAAAAATCTGTTGGTAGAAGCCATTGGGGTTTTGATTTTATTCTTTTTTTAATAAACTCAACAGATCTTCTGTAGGGCCTCACACAAGCAGGAGAAATTATCTGCTTTTGTAGTGAAAGAGTCTTACAAATCTACTTAACGGCATGCCCTGATGACTGCCATTGGTGGGTTCCTCATCTGCCTATTTTTGGGTTCAGTTTTCAGTTCCCAGGAGCAAAAGGAAGTCCTCTATACAACTGCTATGGCTCTGAGTTGCATTAAGCTGGTTCTAAGGCTGTGGCAAAATTTTCATTCCTCATAGCTTTTAAAGCCATGTGCTGGCAAGAGTGCCTTGAGAAAAACTCTCACCTTGAGCACGCAATCAGAAGTTCAAAATTTGGCTATTCTAGGATTAAATCCTCTGCATCTTGCTATTCTAAATTTCTGTTCTGTTAAACACTGTCTGGGCAAAGAGACTAAATTATTAGGCCATTTGGTATATTGGCTAATAGCTCTAACTAGGGGTGGTCAAACAAATTCTCCAGCTGTTGCTTTGTTAAACTCAGGAGAAAATGTTATAGAGGGACAATGTTACATTCTGGCAGAGAATGACATTGTCAGTATCTGAAAGGCTTCCTTCATGAATGGTCATTCCTTTTGGCCAGCAGGTGTTTGATTTAATGTGACTTCTTCAGGTGGAAAAATGTCGGAGAAATTTCCAAATATAGTAAAAATCTCAACCACGAAAGATATCTGGTATACTAATGGAGTGGGGTTCTATCCTTCCATACAGATTCCTTCAGGATATTATCTCCAAACCATGAATTCCAACTTGCACTTCAGCGGATTTGTCTTCCCAATTGCAGCAATGAATGTGATAAGCATTGTGCCCCTACTGATTCTTGTTCCTGTGTTGGAATGCATTAACTCCTCGTGTCTCTTTAGTTCCAAGGACACTGGACATTCTCCAACAGTTTACATTGGTATGTATAAAATCCACGTGTTTATACAGTTTTACTCTGTTTTCTGTTTCTGAAAGAGAAATTTCAGTATGATGGATGATCCTGTACAACTATTTCTGGCCATAGATATTAAGATGGACTTGTTTTGGGATGATGCTCAGAGGTAAATATGTTTCAAAGGAATTATTGAAAGTCCTGGAAACACATACTAGAAATCAAGAAAAAAAAAATGCATGGCTTTTGTGTAGGACAGAGGCAGATGCTTCTGACCAATAAAAAATTTTGAGGCACACAAAAAATAACTACAAGTCATCCTAGTATTGGAGTGACTTGATATTAACTATTTTGTCTTGAGAATTACTCTGACTTGGTTATCTTCTATATGTTTGTTTATCCATTTTTGGAAATTTAATTTACGTTGAAAGTCTCTTTTGGAAAAGAAAAAGTCCTTTAGTTAATTGCTCTCTGATACTGGATAAATGTGTGTTGCTCTAAATGGTGAGTTTGGATTTAAATAAGTAGGTTATGAACAGAGGCTTTTTTTTTCTGCTATTTTTTACACTATAACTGCATTGTTGTTAGGACTACAGCTCATAAGAGGGAAATTGTATTATCACTAGTACAGTTTCTTCCAGATTCTACAGTTGTATCACAGGTGAAACAAAAGTATCTAGTCTAACTGTGTATCTGCAATGGGTGTTTTTAGAACTGATGAGCAAAAGAAAACATGCAGACAACCATGCAAGACAAATGGGTGTGTATCACTAGGCTGCTGTTCCCATTGGAAAGGCTGAACATTTCACAGGTGGAAGGTTACTTGAAGAGGCACAGCTTTCCTCTCCAGTACTAGAATTTTTGTTAAAATACCTAGTATGGGATAATTGTTCAGGTGTTTAGCAATTTGATTATTAAAATCCTTAACTGAAACATGCCTAAAACAAAAAGGGGTCTCCAAAGGTGAGGTGTTATCTCTCTTTCTCACAGTGGTAAAAAGAAGTCTTCCCTGTTGTGAGTCCCAGTGCTTCCAGCAGTAATTGTTGTAACCTCAGGGTTGGAGTTTGGCACTCATTTCAGAGCAATTCACGGTCTAGAAGCAATGGTCACTTTAGTAGGGGTTGGGCCTCCTTCTGTAGACACTGGTGTGATTTTTTTATTTATTTTTATTTATTTGGCTTTTTAATTATCCCCAAACCTCTTATGTTCTACAGAACAGAAGTGATTTGGAGGGATCCTCTGTGACCCTTTTCTGATGTCAGCTACACGTAGTACCACCAGAAAATCAGCTTCCATTCTTTATTCACTTAAAACTATTCCCTTTCGTAGACACTCTCATTAAACTTCCTACATTTTTTATCTTCCAGTCTGCACTACAAATCTCAGATGAAAATATTTATAAACCACTATTTTCTCAGTGTGCTGCTATTAATTCAATGCCCCATGGCAGGCAGCACAGTGAGTACTGACACACACAGAGGTATTAATCTGACTAAATTAGCCTAATTAAGAGTGTTATTAAGTTTTATACAAACCAGAAGCATATAACACAGCAGGTTGCAATTACCCTAGTTTTAAAAATAACATCTGCATTAAAACACAAAAAGCACGTTCAGATAATCATTTTCTTTTAAACTATGGAAATTTCCAAGTTAGTATTAATGTTCTATCCTCTTATGTTGAACAGCAGTAGAATATATGCAGTGGTTTATTCTTAATAGCTTCATTTATTAAAATAGCCTCCTGTTAGAGGTGATAAATTACCTGAGGCATAAAAATACCTGTGAGTACAGGCAATGGCTTCACATATCCAAGTATATGACTGCACCTGCAAATATGGTAGACCTCTAAGTGCCAATATTTTTGCCAACAGTTAATTAAGTTCACAATTATTTTCAGGAACAAAATTGGAAGTATAAATAGGCAGTTGGTGTTAAGCCAGCCTATAACTATATTTTAATTCAACTCTTGCAAGAAGAAGGAATTTCAGCAGTTTTCTGGAAACTCTCAGTATGTTAAGAATAACAGTTTTCAAGTATGAACCATACAGACAATGTTGAACTGAAATATCTGATTGTTCTGTATTAAGGGTCTATATGAAAACTGTAATCTGTTACTTTCTCTCTAGTTGTTGGTTTATTTGTAAATTAGGTATGACCTATAAAACATTAAAATCTTAACATGAATTTAGATTGTGTCCCAAATATGTGGAATATCTGGACCTCTTTACGAAAAACACTAATAGTTGGTAGACTTGGGGTTTTTCCAGTTTCTTAGTTGCCTGTGGGTTTTTTGATTGTTGAGATGGGTTTGTTTGGTTGTTTTTTTTTTTGTTTTATATTTGATGCTGCTTGATTCGGTCAATAATGCAGAAGATTCAGTAGAGAACTGAAACTGTGTGTCTGGTGTGTGCATCAGCTACAGGCAGGAGGTTCTAGATAAAACACCTGAGCCACAGAAGTTCTTTCTGTAATATTCTTACTGGCTGACTATACTGAAATGTTGTCTTAGTCTTGGATTTACTCCATCCATGAGTGATATGGAGAACAGCTCTCCATACAGGACACAAAAGCAAGCCTCCAGTCCAATGTCTATTTGAGGTGATTTGGAAGTTTATGATGACCATTTATCCCTAAAGACATTCTAGTTTGAACAAGTATTAATTCTAGGAAAGCTTTTTAACCTGTACAATTCAGGATGTGAGATCGGGACTCACAAAGGTCCAATACAACCTTAGTCCCCAGATAACATAAAGAACCTTGTCCTAGAATCACCCCCAAATATTACTAAAACTAGAAAGCCTCAAATGGTCATTCTAGCTGCTTGTTTCAAACAGAACTGAAGGGAGAAGAGTTAGGAAAGCCAAATCTCCAAGTCTCTTGGTTTCTTCCTCTGCCACATAAAGCCTTAAAAGATTAAAGTTAAAATTGTTGGGCATTCACAGTTTACTTTTTCTGAAATGAATTGGCTTTTTGTAGGGAAAATGCTTCAAGTATAGAACTGTGTAGTAATACTGAACTGCTTCAGGTTTCTTTAGTACCAACATAATTTTTCACTAGGAGAGCTCTTGCTTTGGAAGGTTACAAGAAGCTCCTTGAGGGCTTTATACCTGGCTTTGACAAGCTGCATTGGTTAGAAAATGCTGTTGAATTCCCTCCTGTCATCAATTTTCAAGCAATAATTCATTGATGTTCTCATTAAGCACTAGAGGAGCCTTAAAAGCAAAACAGCATCCAAGGCTCAGGTTAGGCATTGGGAAGGATATTTAAAGCTGTGGAAATGCAGGAAAACTGTGCTGGTGGAAGGGTGTGAGTTTGGTGCTGAGAGAAGAAACACAGAGGCCTGCAAAAACACAACAAGGCTAAGGCCAATTAGCTATATGAGTTTTCCACCGCTTCCATACTGACACCCAAAAAGTTTATATTGTTATAAATATAATATGAAACAAAAGCTTTTTACTGTTGACATCAAATCTAATAAGCGTAACAATTATCAGTCATGAAGTCAGAGGAGGCTTTGAAAGAAAAACATAGTCCAAGTATTTGAGCCAAAACTGTCAAAAGAAACTAAATTCTCCTCACGTTATGGCTTAGAAATGCTGACAAATCAGAAATTTGATTAAAATAAGTGGGAGTTCAAACCATAAGAAATATACATGTTTCAGGTTCAGAGACTTATTTGAAAACTGTGCTTGCTTTGTGTGTTTCTTTTCTGAGAGGCTACAGCCATTTCATACTGTCAAGATAAAGAATTATAAAAAAGCACATTTAAATTGCATCATCTATGCAATGGGCGAAGTGTGCATCTGAGTTTTAGAACCTTTTATCATGCATTATGAGGCTGAACACAGAGGGTTGGGGGTTTTTCTGGTCCTGTGTGCTTGCACTTTTGCCTTACCACTGAGGCAGGTGTAAGACTCCATGAGTTGGATGTGCAGTGGTAAATTGAAATGTTTTGGGGATCCAGTGTATTACGGATCATGTGGCAATACTGCTTCAAGACAGCTGAGAAAGGCAGGAGGCAACTGTGGTCTCACAGCTTATGTGTAAACACTTAGAAAGCTGGAGATGAACTCTCCCGCTAAAGCAGATCTCATCCTGAAATGTTTAAAAGTCCAGCAAATGCACTATAAACAAACTTTCTAGAGTAGTTCAAGGGAACTCTAAAGTAGACGAAAAGGAGAAAAGGTAGGAATCCTTGATCTCCTTAGGTGTGATATGCACAACTAATCTTTTCCTCTCCTGTCTGCCATGGCCTTCAGCCTTAGAAATCTAGTATTTTGAGTGCCTGCACTGCTTCTTTTTAAATAGAAAACAAATGGTTAAAGTTTACAGCGTTAATGTGTATTTCAGAATCTTACTGCTGCTTAAGTAGGAGAATTTCCTGCTGCTTGGTAGTCTTTCCTACCCAGTCTCTTGTGATATCTGGAAGGACATTTGCCTTTTCTTTCTCTCCTCCTTTCTTACCTCCTTCAATCTTCAAAAAAAAAGTAAAAAGCTGTTCTTTGTGACTTTGGCCTTCAGAAAAGTTTTTCCTCTCCCTCAATTATTCCACATTCTTAAGTTCTTTCCGTGCTGACCTGGTGTTCCTTTGCCATATTCATGTTTAGGTGTTCAGAAAGAATGTTTTGGGGAGGGCGAAGGAATTTATTTTTGCATTTCTTAGGAGTTTGCTTCATTATAAACACATGAAGACCCTGTACTACAGCCTTGGTGAATGCTCTCTGTGCTCTTTGCTCAGTTGTAGGTCACTTATCCGCTGCACTCTCCGTGATGGTCGCTGGCTTCTCTGAAATACACCGAAAGCATTTCCCTCAGGTGGAGCAGACGCTTTCTGAGGAGGTTCTCCTGGTCTCCTCCATGCCTTGCTTCCACTTAGCTCCTCAATACATCCTCCTTGGAGTGGCTGAAGCCTTGGTAACTCCCTCCTGTAAGTAAAACCCAGTAGGCTAAAGCAAGAGTGTCCTGACTCATGGAGAATTATATCAGCTGCCTAAATATAGTTACAGTCGTTTGATATTTTATCTCTGGCTCTCTTCCATGGGCTTAATGAGCAGATCTGTGCTTTACCTGCTTCGGAGAAGCACAATTTGTCTTTGCTGGCTGTAACTCAGAATGAGCAATGATATTGTTCCAGATTAACTGGAAGATAGCACAGTCCAGTCAGGTCCCTGGGGTGTGCAATCCACTGTTTGGCCTTGAAGCTGAACCTGCTGCAGGCAGGGGCTGGACTGGATGAGCTCCTGAAGTCCCTTCTGATCTGAACTCTTCTGTGATGATTTTATTGAGAAAGAACAAAAATACACAGGACAGCTAAACTCTGGTTATGGTCTGTGACCACCTTAAAGGCCACAGTCAAAGCGAGGTGAAGCAATTTAGCTGAACACTTTCCATTTGTGGACCCAGCAAATAGAATTATTACGTGTTTTTCACCAACACAGAGAACATGTGGGCAGGTAACACAATTCAACTGACTCACCTAGAGAATGTTGTAGGCAGATGCAAGATTTTTGTTAGTGGTCCAATCAGGAGTCATCAGAACATGCCTCCACAGATCATCACACCTTAACTTGTGACATGCAACCAGAGATAAACACTCCTGTTCTTCAGAGCACAGGCAGAGCTCAGCTTGTCTGCCATCCATACATTATGTAGTCATACTCTTGACTGTGAGTCTGAACCTTTTCTACCTTCCATTATTTACTTTTCCATGTCTACACTGACATTTCTGAGGCTTATTTTCTTCTGAGGAGCATGAAGAGTGTTTACCAGTGTTTTACCTTGCAGAGCTTCAAAAAAAAAAGTTAGTATTATAAAAATAATGTAAGCAACATTCACTTAGAGACACAGGTAAAGTAATTGACTGGCTGATCTCTGCAGGCATTTAATTCGATGGATTGAGTGTCTCTTGTTCCAGTACAACCCCAGAAATGTTCAGCTTTTTATTTAAGAGCAGGAAATAACTTCAGTGTCTCAGCTTCGTTCTTATACTCTAAGACTACTGAAAGCTGTGGGTCGCAGTCTGTCACTAAAAAGGTAATTTTCCCTAGTTTTAAATACTTAGCACTTTCATAATGCCTCTTCATCTGATAGCTCTCAAGTACTTAACTGAGACAAGTTTCTAGGCAGGTAATTTGGTTTCTAGGTTACAGGCTAAGTGTAACTGAAAACTGTGACCTTCTCTGTTTAGCTTAACAAAAAAAAAAGGTTAGAAGGTGACTTGCTTACAGTCTTCTCATGCAAAAGCATGAGAAGAATACTGCTGTTAGAATAAAGCTTTTTAATCCAGCACACCGAGACACAGCTGAAGTCCAGTGACTGGAAGATGACATTAGCCTTTAGAAAAGAAATAAAACTCCATCCTAGGTTTTTTTTTTCTTTTTTAGAGATCTTTTTAAAGGATTGTGATTAGAATTTCTTAAGAAGAAAAGCCATCTTTACCCATTTAAGTAAAGATTAAGCATCTTGCTAAGAGCTGCAGTTAGAGGCGTGATTTAAGAACCCAGGCAAATGGGACTAAGTCTAAACTTGAGACTTGCATACAGAAAACTAAAGGTAGGTGCCTAAAGCAGGTTATTGCTGTAGCTGATGGGGATGCTGACCTGCATTCCCTTGCCCACACAGATGTCTGGCCCCATTTGTCATGGAGTGTTTCGGCCATGCACGCTGGACAAGCAGGATCTTCGCAGTCTCTGTTACCCCAGGTGCTGCTGGAGAAGAACATGGTTTTTCCCACAAGTCTTGCACCATGTCTGATCACACCCCCAAGCAGATGGCTGAGGTTCACTGAAGCACATCTGGCAGCACTAAGGATCTGTGTTCAGGCTTCTGAACTGAGCTCCAGGTTTCTACTTCAGTGTGAACTGAATTGCCTTTCAGGAACCATTCAGTGGATCTCTGTGGATGTTAGTGACAGCCTAGACACTTAAATAGTTGTTCCAGCTTTCCTGACATTTTACTGCCTTTCCTATGCAGAAGGTCAAATTAAATTATCATAATAATTTACTTGACCTGAAAGTACATGATCCGAGTTGAAGACAGAAATGTTCACACTTGTAATCAGAGGGAGGAAAGGAGTTATCTCATTTCTGAAGTGCTTGGTTAGAGAAGTTAGATTTGGCATATTAAACTCTTTATCTTCATTAGCACCTCTTTTATTAGGACTGTTCAGACTGGAAAAGAGAAGACTTCAGGCTGACCTGATTGTGTCATTCCAGTATTTCAAGGGAACCTACAAGAAAGATGGAGAGAGACCATTTACAAGGGCATGTAGTGACGGGACAAGGGGGAACAGCTTCAAACTGAGAGTAGGTTTAGATAAGATATCAATAAAATATTCTTTACGGTAAGGGAGGTGAGGCCTGGGATAATATGCCCAGAGAAGTTGTGGATGCTCCATCCCTGGCAGTGTTGGATGGGGCTCTGAGCAACCTGGTCTAGAGGGAAATGTCCTTGCCCATGGCAGAGGTGTTGGAACTAGATGATCTTTAAGGTCCCTTCCAAGTCAAGCCAATCTATGATTTGGTCCCTGATACTTAGAATTATGTTTATACAACATATTTCATTATCCTGTTGACAGGAGTTTTGTAAAATCATCTGCTTCAGGTGACATGAGCATCTCTTAAAATAATATCATCATTTAATGTTCCCCTACCACTAAGGCAGTATTTAAAAACAAAATAATGATATTGCTCTCCTCCACAGTGTTAGAATGTAAGATCTCACAGTCCTTTGCCAGGCTGAATTTGTAACCCTCAGTTTTAACAAAGAAACCAGTCTTTCAAGGTTCAACGATTTAAAAGAAATCAGTGCTTGCTGAAGTGCTGCAAGAGTATCATCATCAACGTGTCTCAAAACACTTAGAAATGGGAAGCCTTGTAGCAAACAGCTCTGTTAGAGGCTATATTTGGAATTGCTTTGCCCACCAATGAAATGCAATAGTCTCCAGGGTGACATGCAACAGCTCTTTAACAGTTTTACTGCAGTATGCAACTGAAACAGCAGGGCCAATTTAGGTAAGGAGGATGCAATTGCCCCGGCTGAATTTGGCCAAGATGCATGTTTTGCACTCTTGTTTTTAGAAGAGAGGTATAACCCAAAACTTCTTAGTCTTAGTGATTCAAATTAGCCAGGACACTGATTGTGTGATGTTTCAGACTGTGTTGTTGCATCTACAGATGATGTCCCAGGCTCACTTACTTTCACTTGCCCTCAGGCTTTTGGTTCTTCTTGTGAATAAGGAGGAAAACACCCTCCGTGGTGTTTTTTTCTTTAGCATGTTTCCAAAGCTCTTATTTGGACATTCAAGTTATAAAGGGTGAAAGGTGGTGATTGCAAAGTTTCATTTGTATTCAGAGATGTTTCAGGGGACTCAACATCCAAAGAGGATCCTCTACATGTTTTTCAAGCTAGAGGTCATGCAAATTCAACTAATAAAGACACTGGGGCTTGGCAAGCAAGTGTGGATGAGGGCTTAAGGTATGAAATTAGGAAACAGAGGTTATTTATAATCAGGGGAAATGACTTGAAAAAACAGCTATTATAAAGTCTTGCTGTTACTGTAATCTACTTCAGCCAAATTGCAGCTGGTGGGATTATTTATAGTCATCTATGCTACAACAGCATGCTACAGCTTCTCCTCAGTACCAAAGCTGTTGCTTCTTCTGGTTTAGCCTTCTGGCAAAAAAAAATTGAAGAAGGATGTCTTAAAAATTATCCTGTGAGTCTGGGGGTTGCATTCCGGGGAAGAAGAGCGTTGTCCAGCTTTAAGGTAAAGAGCAAGGTAACTGTCCAAGTTAACATAGAGCTCTAGATTTCTGAAGTATTTGATAGGGGTAGCACTGCATTGGCTCTGGCCTGGGAGTTCCTGGTGTTCTGCAGTTAAATAACACACCTCTTGTCTTCATACTTACTGACCATGGTGGTGTTTCTCTGGTCTTGCTTATGCCTGAGGTTTTAAAAGGTGAAAGCAGCCATAGGGGTGAAAAATCCTTGTGTATTTGTGGAACACTGATAGTTGTACAAGCTGTAGTTTATTATAGAGATTCACTTAAGCAGTTTAGATAATGCTTTGTTAATAGGGTACATGCTAACACATCTGATTGCTCTTCTGCAGCAAGCACATTCTCTGTATAAAATATGGAAATTCTCTATTACAGATGCTTCGAGATACTTTTCTGTCTTATCTACCTTCTGACATAATTTTCTTCTTTTTTTTTTTCCTTTTTTTTTTTTTTTTT